ACATTAGGGGATAAATTTGAATCCACCTTAGCTGATAGAAGGTTTTATGTATTATTCATCATATTATATTGATTCATAGATCAAGGATTTAACTCCATTGGGAAACATATGGGCTATGACCATAACTGTAATATAATGCAGTCGTTGGACCAGGCCACTAAGTTAGAGGGTTGCAGTCATAATTTTTAACCATATGGAGTTGATCTAGCCAGGCCACGGGTTCTTCGCAAAGCCATGCGGCCAGACTGCTAATTTGAGGACTAAAATCACGCCCTTATTGGCAAGAGACTATTTGATAATGAACCTTAGTGATATTCTCGATAAATATTAGCTTTTTTTGATATGAAGTAGTTTTCAAATTGGCCACCTCAACAGACTGTTGTGGAGGGTGGAAGGGTTTTGATTTAAGTATTTTGATGTTTTTGTAGTTTTGAATTATTATGGGCATTTGGGAGGTATTTTGAATATTTAGAATTAATCCCTCTGGTTGAGATATACGCTCAACACGACCACCATCTGGATATTTATGAGAAATTTTTATTTTTTATTGAATATTGTCGACTATGTTTACTTGTTGATAGATGATCATATCCATTATAATGGATTGGCTGTATGTTTTTATTACTTAATTTTCTTGGTTATAGGCTTTGTAAGCCTAATATGAATGCATTAAAATAAATATCTCAGTCGATGTCATGATTGTATATTTATTTGATAGTTTGATCCGTGTGGACTCCTATCAACTCACATAGAAGGTTTGTGCTCAAACTTAAATTTATAATTTGACCCGCATAACATCCTCAGATGTATGTGTATACTCATAACATGCTTGTCGGGGACAATACGGGTGTATATTGCCTACATATATACAGTTTAATATACTTGTATATGTACTTTTACATTTGTATGTATACATTCTATGGTGCATGTGGGACAGATTTTAAAATTTTTAGTGCTAATCAACTATGTGAATGATCAACATTTGGATGTGCACAGCGCTCTCTATAGAAGCTTGTAAATGCTTTCTGCCTACTTACATAGATGTTGTGGATCCGACGATGTGGCGTCATGGTGCATTGGGTCTCATTTGGGAATTTATAAACGTCTTTTGTCCGCTTGCATGGATGACAAAAATTTGGTGGTGTGGCATCACAATGTGAGTTGTTAGTTGCTTTAGGCAGGTAAGCTATCATGCACTAACAAACCTCCTGCCTTTGTTCTTGGTCAAGTCAATTTATATACAAATCTTCTAGCACTGGCCATAGGCATTCATATTTGCTCTAATTATTTTACAAAATGCTTGCGGTCAACACATTGGGTGTACAATGGGTATTCTAAAATAGCTCGTAAGAGCTTATATTTATCGCAGTCCTTTTGTATTTGATCGTAGATGACATATTGAGTGCATGACGGGTCTCTTATAGTGACCCATAGGTGCTTGCATGTGTTTTAATTCTTTGTATATTCTAATAGATAGTATGCTAAATGTACAACAAATCTTCTACCAATGCTCGTAGGTTTTTTCATCCACTATGTATCTTTCTTCTCTGGTTGCAAATTACATTTCACATGTTCACATTCACAGAGGATCCCTATCCGTGCAACATATCCTCCGTCATTAATTGCATGCAAAATCAATATGCTCATTTGATGCTAACTGCTGATTGAGCTACATTCATCAACATCTCTTCATGAATTTTGGTTGGCGAATTATTACATTCCTTGCACGTTATTTTTTTATGTTTGTAGGGAATTGCAACTTTTGTTTTCTAATTAAATAATGTTGATGGCAGGGATTTCATAGCATTCACTATGTGTCTATTGATTTCATTTGTAGGTTTGCAAGTTGCTGCATTCACATGTATATATCTCACAATCGTTCACAAACATTCACAAGATTCCTGTAGTTTCTTGCGAATGGACTATTATATATGTTTGCAAGTTAACTGACATCGCTAGTAGGGATATTAATGCATTTGCTTGGCACTAAAGTGTAGTTAACAGCAGAAGTACCCTAGCATCTGCTACGTGTTATCTGTCGTCAACCATAGGTGGACTAATATATTTGTTTGTAAGTTGTAAGATGTTGTGTGTAGGAATACAACCACATCTACAACTCCTTTGCTGGCATTTCCACTTGTCGGTGTTTGTATGCCCTTTGTGTATAATATACTTATGTATCAGCTACATACTTGAACAATGTTGACTACGAGGGTGTATTTACCTGATAATGAATAGTTGTTGATCGTAAGGATACTTAAACATTCATTTCCCTCCACTAATTATTACTCATAGGTATATTACTATGCCTACAACAAATTTTTCATTATTTTTAGTAGATATTTGTTCTCATTGCAAGTTGCATTGTGTTCTTGCAAGAGGCTATGTTACTTGCATGTGGATTGATGCATTTATTGTATATTGATATTCAGCATTAGTAGGGAATCACTTGTAATCTTTAAGCTAGTGGCATAGGCCATAAAGAGACATTTAGATTTGTAACCTATTTGATGTCATTGTTCGAGAGGAAATTAGTGTACTTGCTTACCAGCTGATGGTTGTCATTTATAAGTGTGCTACTAGTACATGTTAGTCGTCATTGCTCATGGGTAAAGTAATTGCATGTGTTAATAAATTCACACCATTTATTCATAGGCAAGCTATGTTCATCACGAGCATGTTGTTTTGATTTGCATGCAACACATGTTCCTCACAACCTTCCCAAGCACATTCTTTTAGTGGATCATAACCTTCATTGCATGTCAATCACCACCTTCATTTCTTACTAATGAACATGTCATGTAACAGAACACTATTCGTAGGTGTGCCACATTCCTTGCATATGACTGTCGATGTGTTATCATGTTCATTGTATATTCACTATTGTCACTCAGAGATGACATGTTAGTGTGTTGTAGGTCTTTTGTCGTCACTAAAAGTGACATGCAATATGCAATGTGCACACATGAATGTTAGAAATGTTGCTTGATAGTGTCTGCATTTCGTTGCATGTCCTCTACTCCTACTGGTATAGGATTAGTGTATTTTTCCTGACACTGAGTGGTTGTTAACTACAAGGGTACTGCAGCATATATTGCCAGTTGCTACATAGCATGTAGGATATTGTATTTGTAGTGTGCTTTCTACCCTTGCTTGTAGGTAGCTTATTGTTTATGTGGCTAATTTACTGCACCGATTTGTATTTGTTTGCATTTGTCACCAATTAACCACCTTTGCATATAGGAGATTGGAGTGTTTGCTTGACATCGAGTGATGGTTATTGCAAGGATGTTATCATATCCATTACTTGTTAATACATAACTCACATGTACTTGTTCATATTGCAAATGCACTAATTGTTTGCATACGATGTTTTCATTTGCATGTTATTGATTGCTGGTTCAACTATGTTCATATCACCATTTCCTCGTGCCGGTTGATTAATTTATTGTTGTATTTATCAATTTCTGCATATACACTGATTGTCATTACTCGCAAAGAATTATTGTATTCATTCAGATGCGGGTTGACACTAATTATAGGAATGCTGTTGTATTCATTGCATGTTAAATCCCTCTCTTTGTAGGAGATAGGTGCATTTACCTGCCACCACATTATTGCAGGCTGTATGAGTATCCTAGCACTTTTTATAGGCTTCTACATATGCATTGAGATTGAACACAAAGTATTGCCGCATATATCTACATGATACTTCATTCATCTTAAACTCATTGAATCTGTCAATCGTTGTGTTCATTATGTGTCAAATTCCTCCACCCATAGGGGAAAGATGTATTTGCTTGATATAAGAAGGTTGCAAATGTTAGGGATGCTACCACATTCCTTTATACAGCTTTTATGCTTCATTTATGAATATCCTTCTTCATTGCAATCACTCTTACTCATTCAACGAGCATGATTGAGGTAAATATCTTTCATGGGTAAATTAAAGGAATCTACAACATAACTTGCGATCAAAACACCTGTTCACGTTGATTGTTGCTTATGAGTGATGTGTAGAAAATTCAATCATTATAAGTCATTGTTTGTAATTGCCAATTGATGTTCAATTGAATTCTTTGATTTTATTTAACATTTTGTATTTCGAACTTCGACATATGTTTTTCGACTTAGAGTTTGATTCACTGTTGTCCAAATTACAAGTTCAGTTAAAATTTTCAAGTTCTATGCTATCCTTTTCGTTCAAATTAAGTCATTTGTCATTGTTCATTTGAGTTTAAATCAAGTCCTCTATTCAGTTCAAATTTTTATAGCCTCCTTGCATCTCGCCCGATTAGAGGAGATCCCAAGAGTCGGGCCTTCCTACAATACTAGAGAAAAGCGTATGCAGTAAGTGTCGGATTACACTACTGTCGTAAATATTCAATCCCACCACACTAGAGAAAGACATGTATGAGTCTTCAGGGTACCAGTTTGAAATGCGCAGTTCTTTCCCCATAGGCACTAGGGAGACTACGAGTACTTATATTCATCCCCGTCGCACTAGAGAAAAGCAAGTATAGGGCCTACCCACCTCGCCGTAGGGGTCGCATCGAATTCCCTTCCCACCATGCTAGAGAAAAGCGTGTATGAGTGATTTTTTGGCACTCGTGAACACTGAAAGTAAGAATTGATGTGTTTAGAGCATTATACCTACACGATGAGGGATATGAGGGCGATGATGATCGAGGCACAAAAAGAAAACACACATTTTTTATCTTTACTCTTTTTTTTTTTTTTTTTGAAACTCTCTTTTTTTGAAATTTTTTATTATACTATATGTATGTATAATAATAATAATAATAATAATAATAATAAGTATCATTAGTATCAATCATAATATAAATAATAAATAAAAACTTAATATAACGACCTATTATCTGAGGGAGATCGGGCAAGGTACAAACGACTTTGGCTATCGGTGCAGGTGAAAGCTTTGACCGGGGTAGATTAAATAGGGAAGACTGGTTGGAGGGGAAGATTCACAGGTAGAAGGAAGTCAGGAATGAAGCTGGTTTTGAAGGGGGCCTGTGACAGAAGTGGGTTTTCGTTTTCAGCAGGGAAGTTGGTGAGTTCTAATTTGGTGGGTAGAGGCGACAAGTTTTGCGTGATAGATCAAAGGAGATAGTATTCGAGGACCTAGAGGAAACCAAAGCAGGAAACAGTTGGTAAAGTCGATCGGTATAGGGGCTCATGAGGTTACGGCCAGAAGGAGCGAAGGTAGTAGTCAGTGAGGGAGTCTTGGGGGCTTTTGGAGTTTGGATCGAAAGCTCAGAGGAGGCGAGTTTGGCCGTGGAAGCTTGGTCATGTTGTGGATGAGGGAATTGGGAAGAGGTAATGGATCCTGCAACAGGAGCAGAGAATGTTGAGAGTTCTATCGAGATCGAGCAACTCTGCTTGCGGCTAGAGGTCAGCACAGTGGAGAGTGGTAGGAGGTTCCTCCTGGAAGGGACGTCGAACTCGAGTGGTGTAGGTAGAGACAAAAGAAGGTCGAATACTTGGATTCAGGATTTCACGTGTGGAGTCGAAGAAAGCGTGAGTTCGAAACCGACCAGAAGGAGTCGTTCGTCATCATTTTAACAGCACGAATGGCAGCAACGAAATGGTGAGGAAGTCATGCAAGCGAGGGATAGGAGAATAGATTTGGCGCCGTTTGAACTATAGGATGAGACTGTAGCAGGTAGATTTGAGCAGGAATTCGGGATGGGCTTCGGCAAAGGTAATGAGCAATTTTTTAAAATATTTTAATGGAAAATACTTCTCCATTGCCATGCAAAGAAGTAAGAGCCCCCCAACCAATTCAAGCTTTAATTGCAAAGGTCACATTCCCATATGAAGCCCATGCAAGTTATATTGTCATCATCACATGATAGTAAAAGATTGAAAGACACTTGAAATCAATTAATTTCAGTTGCTTTGCCGTTATTACTGTGCAAGATTCCAAGGAAAGCAGCGCTGGCTTTTCAGCCTCAGATGACTGACTACAGAAGCTTCCAACAACATCACCTTCACAAACCAGGAGACAAGATTGGATCAGGCAGCAGTAAGTTGAAAAAAGGAAGTCACGAGAACCAGAGCTCTTTGAAGAGCCGTTTCATCTTCTTCCCCGCCATGGATTCTGTGAGCGAAGCTCCACGGCCTTTTTTGCACCTTGGCAGCCGCCAGATGAGCCACAAACAACACCCGCGAGAATCAGCTCATGGATCGAACTGCATTGCCTGCTTCATCTTGCCAATCATGGCAGCTGCCATTCTTATGCTGCTCGTCTTCTTACTTCTGTTCGTTCTTCGTCGAGCGAAAAGGAAGACTGATGGGGGAAACAGCTTCGGCAAGAAAGGCTTTGATGAGACGAAGCAGGTTTCCAGGTGCAGTTCTGATATCAAGATAAATGGAATCCGATATAGTCCAGGTATTAGATATGCTCCTAACCTCTAAGCTCGAGCTTGAACGAATAATCGAGTTCAGGTTTAACCTCAATTCTAATAGTTCATTTGGATTCAAGCTGTTGTTATAATAAAATGATTATAAGAAGTTATGAAAAATCACAAAAGATAAGGAAGAGAAGCATAGTTTTTAAATATTTTTAACATGGTACTTAAATAATTGAATTATAATATATTTTAAGTTCATTTTAATATTTTTAAATGAATTAGTTTATGAGCTAAAGAGTTGAATCATGGTTAACTCAAATTTGAATCTTCAGTTCATCAATCATTGTTCAGGAGTTATTTATCGAGCCAAACCTGAATAAGCTTGACTCAATATTCACACCCTTATGCTGGATATTCTTTGACATACTGATTTGAACTTTATTTGTTTGGAGAAAGATGTGAGAAGTTGCCTCTATGGAAGTAAATTAAGCTTTGCTCCACAAGTTAAAAGAAAGGTGGTTCAGGTTTTCACTTACAAGGAGCTTGAGCAGGCCACTGATGGATTCAGTGAGAGAAATCTTATTGAAAATGGTGGATTTGGTGTTCTGTACAGAGGAGTAATGAGCGATGGAACTGCAGCGGCCGTCAAGCTTTTGCAAGTTGAAGGAAAGCAAGGGGAGAAGGCATTCAGAATGGAGGTAAAAATAATTCTGATTTTTTTTTTCCCCTGATTTTCAGTTTAAGATTGTGTTCTTCTCAGCAGTCCCATATAACTTAACTTCACTTAAAAATATGGAGAAATAATGGCTTCATTTACTTTAGAGCTGATACTCTGAAGCACATTAATCAATATCAATGATAATCAAATAAATATGAATAAACTTAAAAACTTTACAGCTGAATAATTTTCAGGCTCCAGATTTTTAGAATGATAGTACTCCTTAACTTTTTTAACCTTAAAAATATTACTTATTCGCAATATTTTTAATCAAATCTGCTTATGGATATTTGTTGGTTATTTTCTCATTCTGATTTTCTCATGTTCTATAAGATGGTAGTGAGGCCTGCAATGCTTTATGGTGCCGAATGTTGGCCATTAAAAGAGAAGCATAATACTAAGTTAAGTGTGGCAGAGATGAGGATGCTTAGATGGATGAGTGGCTTTACCCTTAGAGATAGGATACGAAATGAGCATATACGTGAAAAGGTTGGAGTAGCTCCAGTAGAAGATAAGATTAGAGAGAGTCGCCTTAGATGGTTTGGTCACATAAAAAGGCGGCCTTCCGACGACCCAGTTAAGAGAGTAGAGGTATTAGATTTGACTTGTGTTAAGAAAGGTAGGGGTAGACCTAAAAAGACTTGGTTAGAAAATATTAGGAATGACCTTTCTTTATTAGATTTAAACGAGAATTTGGCTTTTAATAGGACACAATGGAGAAAAAGGATTCATGTAGCCGACCCCACGTAGTGGGATAAAGGCTTGATGTTGTTGTTGTTGTTGTTGTTGATTTTCTCATGTTCTCAAAGAAAATGACAAATATTTGAGTTACTCACTACTTTGTGTGCATTTTCCTTTCCAGCAGAAAAGCAGCTCTTCTTCATCACCTTGTATTTATAAAATCTCAGTTTTTGCAATTGTTTCCAGTTTTGTTCTCAAAATTGTTCTTATTATGCCAGCTTTATGTTGCCTATGAATTTCTCAGAAAATTAATGACATTAATGGATTTCACTATTTATGCTAGCATGCAGGCAAACACAAAATTTGCACAGATGAATACAAGACAATGTTTGAACTGCTACCTCCTCTGTTGGGAATAGAGACTTTATATAAAGATTTAAAACTGGATTTATGCTTCAATCTCATTTTGAAAATTTTGGTGTAGGTAATTTTGTCAGTTTAGTAGTCAGTTTCGGTTGTGATTTCGATTACATTTATCATAAAATATTATAGAAAAATATATTTAAGATACGAAACAAAGAGGATTATCTAATTAAAATTCAGATAACAGTACACATGAATTTTGATGGGAGACCCAGCATAGAGTTTTAACAAAAATTTAGCAACTAATTAAGAGTTTTATGAAATTTTATGAAAAATGTGTTTTTCAGGCGAAAGTTTCATCTAAAAACTAGATTTTTGATCGAAACAGTTGAAGCCAGCCTAAACCAAAATTTTTAAAGGGTTTTGGAACAATTTTGACCAAACCCAAATCGAAACCAATGAAACTGAACTAAAATCACCAAAAATTAAAACTACGCTTTAGACGAAAACAACCTATTAAAATGGATCTAGCAATAAACTATAGGAGCTTTGTGACAAAACTACTTCTAACTTCTAAATGGCATTTATAAGTTTTGAGTATCCATAAGCACTTAGAATGTGTCCAAGTAGAGCATGCTTTCATTTGGCCTTTTGACATGCAATATATTATTTGATTCTCAAAACATGAACGAATATTTTTTATGTTATCTTTAAACCAATACTCAAGGCATATCCCTCATATTTATGATATAATTAAGACAGTTATTAGAACTTACATGACATAGATAGATTTGTTAAATTTGATGCAGGTAGACCTGTTGAGCCGACTGCAATCTCACTATTTGGTCATCTTGCTTGGCTATTGTGCCGATCAGCACCACCGCCTGCTTGTCTTTGAGGACATGCCCAATGGCTGCCTTCAGCAACATCTCCATCCCACAACATATCAGGCGGATAAACCATACCGGCAGCTTGATTGGAAGATCCGTTTAAAGATTGCTCTTGACTGTGCTCGTGGCCTTGAGTTTCTCCATGAGCACTCCATCCCTCCAGTCATCCATAGGGACTTCAAGAGCAGCAACATACTATTAGACCACAATTTTAGTGCTAAGGTATCAGATTTTGGCATTGCGAAGTCATGCTCTTATAAGGTCAATGGCCAAGTGCAGACTAGGGTTGTCGGCACTACCGGATATGTTGCCCCCGAGTGAGTTTTTCTCTTTGCGTTTGATTTTCAATTGTAATCATCTAAAGACAAATTGAAATCACGATTCTTGTGCTTTCGAATAATGCTTGATCTATTAGCTTATATAGCAGATATGCAGCAACCAGCAAGCTAACGACAAAATCAGATGTTTACAGCTATGGAGTTGTTCTTCTTGAACTTTTGACAGGTAGAGTACCTGTGGATATCACTAGGCCTCAAGGAGAACATGTTCTTGTTTCTTGGGTAAGTAACTACCATCATTTGTAGACCAACTACTCAGCATTTAAATTAGATAAAATATTTATGCTAAAAAGATTGAAAAATGAGATGATTATGACTACAAATGGATGTTATGTTAACCTGGAATCATAAATGGCATCTTTCTTCTAGGCTCTTCCGAGACTAACAAACAGAGAGAAAGTGATAGAAATGGTGGATCCAGCTCTTCAAGGCCAGTATTCCATGAAAGAGCTTATTCAGGTAAGCTAAAAAATGAACTTCAGCATTTTAAACTCGCCATGAGTATGCAGATCATACATATATGTTCTGTCCAACATTTGAAATAGGTTGCGGCCATTGCTTCCGTTTGTGTGCAATCAGAAGCAGATTACCGACCTCTCATCACCGACGTGGTGCAGTCGCTGATTCCTCTAGTAAAAAACACACACACAACTTGCTATTCTACTCCAGCTAGATTTAAAGAAGATCAAGTATCGATTATAATGTGATAGGCTTTCTTCTGTTGGATTCCATATTGAAGACGACAATAAGCAGAAGAAATGGCTCAAATTTGACAAGAAGAAGAGGAGATGTATAATTTGTAGACCAGTTAACTTCTAGAGAAAGAAGTGCTATGATTAGTGACTAGCTAGTGAATATTTCAGCCAAACAATTCAGAACTATACTGTTATTTCTTGCATAAAATCATGTTTTTTACAACAAAGCTCTCCTTAAGAATTTGCAGTAGTTTAAATAATAAGAAAACACCATGCTATGTAATTTCATATTCATAAATTTCTAACCAGTGAATCAACTTGACTGTGGCCTAGAAGAATACATATGCATGTGTGAGCCTGATGGAGGATAATAGAAGGCAATTGCATAATAATCTCTGGTTTGGTCTTAGTTAATTAAGCATAAAAACATGTTACTGGTTGGTCCATGGTCATGCTTAAACATGATCCTGGCAAAAAGCTTCAGATTTAATTACTGAAAAAGTAAGACAAGGGTTTCAATTAATACAACTTGGCATGGGAACAAAACCATAATAAAACCAACTACTCATCTTAATCATGCAGAGCTAAAGTTTATTATAGAGAAAGTCTTGATAAATTATGGTTGAATTGCCTCTGTAAACACAAAATTTTAACTAATCTATTTGTGGGCCATGAAAGTATTTTGGAGATATTGTATTAATGTAAAAAATTTTGAAGAGGTCTTGTGAAATTTGTTAATTTTAAAAATTCTTGTAATATCTTGTGTATTTTATAATAAATTCATGTCTTCAAACTCAATCCATGCTATCAATATAAGTAAAGTCTTTGAAGAAAGATTTGGTATACTAAAACTACAAGCAAAATAGATAGAAGTGGTAGAGAGAGAGGGGAGAGTGGCTGCCAACCTCGAGAGTAAAGGGAGGACTTTTTTGGGTGCTCAAAGGAGAGATTTTCCTGTTACTCAAAAAGACGATGTTGCTAATTTTAATTCCATGAAAAGAAAAATCTTTCGGGCATAGAAGGTAGAAGCACACATTTGTACTCTTTTAATAAAAAAAAAAAAGAGAAATAACAATAACAACAATGTCATCTTCTTTAAAAAATAAAATTAAAAAAAAAATAATGTTATCTTCTTTATGTCCGACCTTGATTTTTCTATCAAGTGATTATGTTTCATCCCAATCATTGGCATCCAATTTTATATTAATAAATGTTATATTTTTTTGAGGATTAGTAAAATACTTAATCTCAATGTGATTGTGGATAAGTGAATACTACCAAATCATATGAACATGTGTGTCTTATGTTTGTGATATATCTTGTGTTTATTTTTTTATCTTCAATTGATTTTTTCCTCAAAGCTTTATTATTATGCTAACAAATCAACTGATTCAACTATAACAATTTTTAATATTTCCCTAAACTATCCCACAAAATATCAAGTCTCCTAAAACTTAAGGTTTTGCTGGGTCCATTAGAAGGACCCTAGTTAACACTGATACTTAATTACAAACTTGGAACCCTTCAATCCTAGCCAACCAATCCATTGGATTGTGTTAGGAAATACTTGAGTTTGCAAGTAACCCTAAGGGAAATACTTGAGTTTGCAAGCAAACCTAACCACAATTGGTGAAAACAATGAGTAAAACTGCTGTTTACAGCGGAAAAACAGCAAAATACAGCAGGTTTCTTGGGAAAAACAGAAGAAAACTGATGGAAAAAATGAAGTATTCCACTAGTAGTTGCAGGAAAACAACAAACGACACAAGTTTCTTCATTTCGAGAGGAAGAAATAGCTCTCCAAATCTCTAGCCAAGCCTAGAGCCCAAAAGAAAACCCTAGATCCAAATCTGATTTCAAATTCAAGATAACCCCCAAACCCTAACAACAAAAACTAATCAAAGCAAAAGGAAAATTAATTAATCCCTAAACAACCCCTAATTCAAATTTTCCCTCCCAACGGGCTAATTTTTAGAGAGGAGCGTGTCAATAATGACAATTAACAAAAAGAACAAATTTAATTAAAATTTTAAAAATGAGCAAATACGCCATGCAAATAGGTGTATTCCTAGAGAGAGAAAATGAGAGGAGAGAGGAGAGAGGGAGGGCGGTAACTGGCAAATGGTTTAAAAAAAGATCAAACATATAAAAAATTTAAAATATTATATTTAAATATAAAAGTAATAATTTTTATATCATATTAAAAAAATACATTTCAACAATAAAATTTATATAATATTATTAAAACATAGTTGAAATATAAGTTAAATATTTAAATAACAGTTAAAATAGTAGTTAGGTATTTAAAATAAAATAATAATTATACTTAAATATTATTTCAATTATTATTTTTCTTTCTAAAAAATATAGTATCACTATTAAGTTGCTATTTAAATATTAAAATTTGAATATTAGTTATATATTATTTTGAATATCAAAAAATTATTTTAAATATATTAGTTAAATATTATTTTGAGGTGTGTAAAAGGCAGAATTATATTTTTTTTATAAAAAACATGATAGGCATTTATGTGATTGCCATGTGACTTGTTTGGGTGAAGTTTTGAACTTTTG